CAAGTCCCCTACGCATCCCGAACCACCACTTTCGAAGTCAAGCCTAACCTTCATTCTGGGGCCGGGACTAAAGTACTTCTGTGATTTTTATACAACATGGAAAGCACTATCGGCATTAACTAGATTCTAAGCAGCAGTAATGAGACACTTTTTTTAATAAAAGAGGTTGATGGAAAATAAACAAAAATGATTTATTTATTGCATTTGTACCCCGACTTTCCTCCAAGCAGCTCAACAGAGAGAGTTCTTCTTTCCCTGTTTTATCCCCATGGCAACTGTGAGGAAGTCAAAGGAAAGTGGCTTGGTCCATATGAAGAATCCCTTTATTAGGACTGGTCAATGTCAGGCAAAAGGGAGCAAGTTCAGCACCCAGCCTGATTAAGAGGCTTGGAAAAGGCAAAAGCCCGAGAGTTTCACGCAAGGCTGTGAAACGGGGGCTGGCCCAAGCCCGCCTGGCTAATCCCATGAAGCAGGATTTGAACCCAGCCCCCCTCGAACCCTCACAAGGGTTACGCTGCAAGAACAGGGCAGAACGTGAGTGGCACATCTGAGATGCATTCCCCGCAGAGCACGTCGAGGAAGTACATGCCAGAAGACTTCCTGGGAATCTCCACGTTATAGGCCCTGGTCTTGAGAACGTGGGCACCTGAGCCTCGTTGAAAGTCCCAGGAGAAAGCCGACCCCACTGACTTGCTCTCCCGGGGGCAGCACCACCCTCCCTCAGCCTGCCACCTGGTGCAGCTAACCCCCCATCCGCCTCGAATCCTTCCTTCAAGAACCCCGTGCATCCCCCTCTCTGGGGGCGAGCCACGTGCCGGACGTTCCAGTCAGGCCCCACACATGAACAGCACACCCCATGTCGGGAGACGAGGGGGGCACAGCCAGCATCACACAGTCCACGAGCGCGGCGCACGGCGCAGCTGCATTTCTCCCCAGTGACACACAACCATCCAGACTAACTCAATATGCTGTTTACATTTCAGGGGGCAACATATCTGGCCGACAACCTGTGCGGAATATTTACTAGCAAGTGCAAGCTAATTGGGTTCACGGAGGAGGACTGACAGTTTCCTCTTCGGGGCGTGGGGGGAACGTTCCCCGACAGGGCACAGACAATGGAAGGCACCAAGCTGGGCAGAAGGCAGGCAAAGGGAAGCCGCGGCTGTGCGCCCCTTCCTCCTGGAGCCAGACTTGGGTTCAAGGCGAGCGCCTCGCCTAGGTGGGAAGAGCAGACTGCACGGCAGAGAGGGGATGCCGTCCCCTGCAGAAAGGCACACAGGAACGCAAGGTGCAACGAGGACTGGGAGCCCTTTTAAAGCAGGTTATGGTGCAGTGAACGGAAAGATACCCTCTTCCCCCAACACCTGTAGGCCAAGCCGAATGAGGTGCCACAAGTTTCCTGCTTGAACCCTTCCGAATGCCATCACGCGACCAGAGCAGGGGAATTCGCCAACATCAGTGTGGCTAAGCAACCCCAAACCTGCCCCTGCCGCTTCGGGCCCCGCTGCCCCTTTAGGGCTGGCTGCCACCGCTCAGGCATGGGAAGCATCTCCCACCGCCCCATGGAAAGCTTCAGTATTCACAGAAGGGGTGTGGGGACTGCCTAGTCTCCAAACTGGGATCCATGCTATCGATCCCAATCCGGGTCCCTCTCAGGATCCACGGAAGAGGACCTCTTCCGACCCGAACTGTTTCTACCTGGCCGGCAGGCCCTTCGGCCCCACCTTAACTGGGTCAGAACAGGTGGCTTTGCGCTTGGGAGCTCAGGCTTCGACTTGTGCCCCGCAACGGGGTCCTTGGGAAGGCGCGATCTCTTTTCGTCTTACTAGCTGGCCCTTTCCGACCAGTCTTGCCTGCCGTGGGAAGGCCCTCTCTGTGCCAGCCGATCTGTGAAAACACCTGCCGGATCCCTTTAAAACCCCAAATGTGTGCACTGGCCCCAGACAGGTAGAGACCCCTGCTCTGGACCACGGAAGGTGCACCCTCTCTCTCACACACGCGTGCACACACCTGCATGCACGCACGCTCACCGGCCACACGGTAAGGCAACTTACTGCCTCGAGGAAACAGAAGGACTGCTTAGCGGGACAGCGCAAACCTTTCCTGCAGTGGAAAGCCGCCGCCACTCAGGAAAGGGAAGCGACTTTCCCAGCGAGAGAAGCCTCGCTCTCTGCAAGCAGTCCCCCGCCCCTCCGCGCTGCACCGTGCTTCCACAGGCCTGATTCTCCCGTGGGGTGCAGGAGGCCTCATGCTCTATCCCGAGTCCCGCCAAGGAAATACGCTTCCTGGAGCACTGGCAGGATCCCCTTGCCTTGAAGGCCTTCAGGAAGCTGGCCAGATACCTTCTGGCAGGGGAAGCCCTCCCCAAAGTCCCTGGGGCATCGGTGGCCCCCAGTCCTGTTTCAAAGCTGTCTGTTCACACCTCTCAGGGATGATGGGACCCTCTTCTTTCCCATTTCCTCTGCACCCAGCAACTTCTGGGAAGGAGAGAAAAGGGGGTGGCCAGGTGGGAGTTCTGCCTGCTCTGGTTCTCGCTCCTGCCACCATCCAGCCCCCCAGAGATGGCCCTTAGAGGACGCAACGCGCAGCAGCAAGAAGGGCTGGTCTAGGGCTCTTCGGGGGCTTAGTTCCAAGAGCAAGAGGATGAGGATAACCTCCAGGAGGCCAAGTAATCCTTGCGTCTAGGTTTAAGGTCCGAGGGACTTGCCTGTCCATACTGCTGGAACTGCATGGAAAGTCCTTGCTTTGCTGGAGGCCCCTTCGAGGAACAGGGGTCATGCGTCACGAGAAGTGGGTCACCTCCTCCTCGACGGGGTCGGGGAGGGCCAGTTGGCTCCATTTCCTTGAGAGAAAGACCATCTCCGTTGCTAGGGAATATGGTGTGGAGCTGAACAGAAACATCAAGAATTACGCTCCTCTCCAACTACACATTGGCATCAGGGGCAGACGGACAGAATTCCTGGCTTTCCAATGATGTGGCAGCTTTACATGAATAGCCCACAGAAAAAGAGAGATGAGACGAGGGCAGATTGGGGCAGAGCAGGATGGACACTCCCTTCAGCCACTCGCCTCCCCTTCCAAAGGGTGCTTTCAAGCACAGCGCAGGAGAACCTTGGCATGATGTCCCCAAAGAAGACATTCGTTGCGCCTGTTGGACAAGATGCTTGCACCTCTGGCCAGAGGTTTGAGGTTCTCCTCCAGTGTTGCAGCAGCTTTACTCTCAGGTAAACTTTTTAGCAAAACACGCACAGAGCCCCTTCCTCATACATTTTGCATCAACTCAGAACTGATTCAGAGCTCCTCCATCTCTCGGTTCCTTCCGAACGCCAGGATAAGCTACCTGCTGCTTTTTTGCCACGCGAAGACTACGGTGCTTCTCGCGGCCGCCCACTCCAGAGGTGGATCATCTGTGCAGCTGCGCTCTCGCGTCATCTGCTAATTCTGTAAAGGGCTACAACCGCATTTTTCTCAGGCCCTCAGTGGAAAACGACTCAAGCTATAGCTATATCAGGCATATTTTTCATGGTGAAACTATGTTGTTTACCTTTTCCAAGCCACTTTTCCAAGTGTCTCAGTAAATATAAAATAAATCTACAGGCAGCCTTTGCACACAGTTCACAAAACACCAAGGCACTTGATTTTATGGTGTGCAGAAATCACACCTTTGAAAAAGACTTTCCAACCTACATTATGTGATCAGAGGTTCCCCTGCAGCTACTGCAGATGCAGCTGGACATGCTGTTCTCAGAGGCTTTTAGCCTGTTAGAGGTTTAGTATCAAAAGGGGGCTTTGCATGTCCTCTTCCCCCAGGTGCTCCTGGAACTCTGCTAGAGTTTGTTTCTCCTAGGGGGTTGAAACCCTCCTCAAACTGACGCTCTCTCATCGCCACCTTTTTCCACTGGTACCATAGTGCCCAAGAGGCTCCTGGGTTAAGCCTCACACTTACCGCAAGCTCCCCAGGTCACTGCAGCCAAGCGACCCTCTCCCGACCCGAGCCACTGGCTGTCTGTCCTTCTTCTGCCCTCCTTCCCAACAGACCAGGGCCAAGGTTCTCCAGCTGGACTGCCTCTGTAGTGCAGCACGACAGTTTTGCAAATGTCAACAATAAAAGAAACCAGCCAAGTTGGAATAGTGGCCATTAGGGCAATCTGGCTTCATGATAAGAAGTTTCTTCCAACCAACTTGGCTGGTTGGCAAAATAGCCACCCTCCCTTCCAAGCTGAAGAGAGCAAATCACAACTTCAAGGTGGGTCTTTCTTGGCCAACTGCTTGAGCTCCCTGAAGCCCTCAACTGCTTGCACTCAGCTTGCCGTCAGGCCCGCCGTCTCCCCATTCGCACATGCATGAAGGTTTCCCATTACACAGAAAACTGTCTAGTTCTCAGCAACTGCCTGGCTCATCTCGGGGCAGGCTGGCCATGGAATTGCAGCGACGGATGCTGGAGCCTCTTCCTGGTGTGAGTCACAGCCTGTATCTGGAACTTCTGCAGAAGGAATAGGTCCAGTTCTGACAATGATCTGCTGCATGCAGACATCCACGTTGCCCAACCTTAAATAATGCCTACACTACCCAACAGCCTTACCTATCATTCTTGCAGAAATACTGCATGTGAAAACTTCTGTAGAAATCTTTATACTGCATTATCATCAATATTGCTTTTATCAATAGTATCTAAAGGAACGCCTGCGTCCATACATGCCCTCCCGCCCCCTGAGATCAGCGGCAGAGGCCCTTCTCCAGGAACCCTCCGTGAAGGATATTAGGAGGGTGAGCACACGGAGGAGGGCCTTCTCTGTGGTGGCGCCCCACCTATGGCATGTGCTCCCCACAGAGGTCTGCCTGGCGCCGTCGTTATTTGTTTTTCGGTGCCAGGCTAAGACCTTTTTATTTAAAACTTATTTTAAGTGTTAATTTATTATGGAGGATTTTTAAAAAAAATTAAGCCGAAATGCACCGGGTTTTAATATTTTAGTGTATAAATTTTTATATGATTTTGTTTGTTTTGTTTTTGTTGTGAGCCGCCCCGAGGCTTTGTTGCGATGGGGGCGGCATAGAAATGTTTTAAATCAATAAATAATAAATAAATATCAGCAATAACAACAATTTATCCTATTTTAACACTAGGTGATTCTATTTCAGCAATACAGATGTGAATGACATATATAACAAAGGAGGGAGATATTATATTCCATAAATTTCCAGGTCTGGGCAAGACAAGGTTAATAAAAGACATTTTGTTATAGTTTTGGTCAGGGGAGAAAATCAGTCAAAGAAACTGGTTAGAAATGCAGGAGGATTATTTTTCTTATCTGATATAATATTTAATTAACGATTTTATTTTGAAAACTATGCCTGAGACACACCCAAATCTACTTCTGCCCCTTTAGAAATATTCCTGATGGGAAGTGACAGCCCCTCCCTCTTGCCCGTCCTTTCCGCATCAAGACATATATAGACTCACGTAACTTAAAATTAATTCCTCCTTCTATAGCTGATAGGATGACATGCCGTTGCTATTTCTTCTTTTTCTTAATTACGTTGGAACCTGCCCTGTAGCTTTTGTTGGAGATAACTGTGGACAAGTGAGGTTAACGTTTTGCAGAAAGAGAGAAAAAAAAGAAGGAAGGGGAGAAAACGGGTCTGGAAAAATCATGGACATTTTGAGAATATCTGCTCTAGCTTTTTCTTCTCAAACTCTGAGCAATTTTGGATTCTAAAGAGGGACAGTCCTTATTTTTACAAGTTAAGATACTCTAGTACATGTTAAGATACTCCGAAAAATAATTGGGGTTTGGGTCAAAGGCAGCCCTGATATCTTTCTTGACGCCAAACAATGGAACTCTTATTATTCTCTGCTTCAACTGTGGCATAATAGAAAAAGATGTTGTGTTATAGAGAATTTCCGCCTTCTTCTCATGACCTGCATTTGGCACTGTTCTTAACCACGAATTCTGGGTGCTTTTCATAAAATCCCAGTTTTTGAGCCTGCAGACGCCAGATACCTGATCAAAGGAGGCAAAAGGTTTCTTTGAAATAGTTTGAGAGCAACCTTCCAACAGTTCAGTCCTGGCTATTTTCCTACATGCCTTCGAGCTTCCGTGAGCCATCCGGTGTTCAAAGGACACGCTCCTCCACGTGCAAAGGAGGGGGCACTGCAACGGCACATCATGCCCACGGCAGAATTTCATTGCCTAGCCTCGTAGCGCAGGGGGCTTCACAGGAGCCCTCCCTCCTCCGCATCTGCTTAGTAGTCCATGCGGTTTGGTCAACAAGAGTTTTGCTTTTTCTTGCCTTCAGCTGTGAGGTGTTTCTGCAGTATGTGACCTGCAGGTAAAATTCAACATAATTCTGACCTTGAGCAGACCCAAAGAAACCAGTGATCCTTAAGTTAGTCGTGACTAACTTAAATCCCTTTCTTTCCAATGAGTCTATGCAAAGTAGGACTTCGGAGGTATATTATGTATTAGTGCATTTCTAATTTACCCAGCAGCTATTGTTCTCTAGGCAGACATTCTGTCCTTTATTTAGTTACTTCTTTAAGCTTTTCATTAACTCACACTATTTATAAGTGAGTGCATGAATGCAGAACAGACATCTGTATCCAAAAACAAAATCAATATCCCAAATAATCATGGTCTTAGAATGTCTAATCAGATCAGGAAAAGTTTGCACACAGAGAGATCTTCCGTATTCATTGGACGATGATGCTTCAAATAAACTTTACATCATTTCCCTGAAATGTAAAAAATAATAAAAACATCTCTTCCAATGTTTTACAAAGAAAACAATGGATTTTGAAAACTGACAAATCTTACATATAATAAAAAAGAGCTTCAGCTATTGAGCAGTAGAAAAATGAAATAAATTAATATATTGCCTAAACAACTTGGATTAAAAAGAAGTATGTGTGGAAAGCATGTACCAATTTGGCATTAATCTGTAAAATAAGTTTAATCTGTCTTAAATAGCTGAATATTACAATGTATGTTAACAACTACAGAGTTTCACTTTTATTTTGAAACTCGTCAATGTATTCTCACAAAGTATGCTTAAACGTTTTTTGCCAATGGAAAAGAAAATCTCAGCAACAGCCTTTCTTTGCACACAGTTAAACAAAATTATGTTTCCCTCCAACTCCTTCTTTGACAAGTAGCTCCTGAATTGAAATGAAAACAAGCCAAACTTAGTCAATATTATAGATTACATATAAGAAAAAGAACCTTGGACCTTGCTAATATCAAGAAGCAGAAAGCAATAGCTTCAATTAAAACCAGCCAATTATTCAGCCCTTTAAGATGCTACAAATAAATGAATTGCTTTTAAATGGAAGTCCTTGGATGAAGAGCTCTTTGACCCACAATTCAATTGCACAAGCAGGAAACATAATGAGGAAGGAATTTGCTGAAACAAAATATTTTTTTCTCCCCTGGAAGAGAAAAAATGGCTTTTGAATTAGTAATCAAGAGGCATTTGCACAAGGTTCTCTGTGCAATGGGAAGAGAAGGGCTAGTTTATGAAGTGGCATTAGTCATCCTGGGCTTTATTTACAAGTTGCTTTTCCACTCCTGCATGTCCCCGTGGCTTCTTGCATGCTTATAGTGCACGTGTCGTGGATACACACATCACGGGGCTATACAAAAGACATGCAGCCGGCGCAGAAGATGATGCTCCATGTTTTTGATATGAAGCTCCAGTACATCAATGCCTGCAGTGAGAAATCCAGCTCCTAAAGGTATTTTTTCCCTCCCCAGATCATAGAAGAGCAGAGTTGGAAGGGGCGATAAGGCCACCGAAATCAAGTGGAAGCATCTCGGACAGAGGGCGGCTCAGCTGCCCCTTGAATGCCTTCAGGTGGGAGAGCCCATGACATGGGCAGCCATTGGTTTCACCGCCATACAAGCTTCCTAGCTCGTGATTTGTGTGCATCATGGAAAAAGAGACACCAGCCAATTCATGAAATAAAACCAAGAGGGGTGGTGCTGGGCATCAAGAAGATCAGGCTCACAGGCGAAGAAATGCACAAATGCGCATCTTGCACATGGCGTCTTTTGGATGGTTTCAAAAGAGAATCCTTGAATCCTAGAAGAGTAGAGTTGGAAGGGGTCCTGAAGGCCATCGGGTCCAACCCCCTGCTGGTGCAGGACACCACGTTACACCATCCTACCCAGACGGCTGTCCAGTTTCTTCTTGAATGTCTCCAGTGTGGGAGAGCCCCCCACCTCTCCAGGCAGCTGGCTCCACTGACGTATTGCCCTGACAGTGAGGAAGCTTTTCCTGACATCCAGCCTGAATGTGGGTTGTCGCAACTTGAATTGATCATTCCATGTCCTGCACTCTGGCATCAGCAAGAAGAGATCTTGACCTTCCTCTCTGTGACAGCCTTTGGGGGACTTATAGGGGGGTATCATGCCCCCCCAAGTCTTCTCTTCTCAAATAGGTAAATTACTATGTGCAAATCTGTGCATGTTTTCCAGTGACATTGCAGATCTAGGTTGGATTTCAGAAGAAGGTCTGCCTACGCCTTATACACTACAGCAGAGCTTTGTGTGGATCATGGGAAGCTATGGATGATCCTGAAAGAAATGGGAGCACCTCAGCATTGATTGTCCGGATGCGTAACCCTCTCACAGACAAGAAGCCACTGTTAAGAGAGAATGTGGAGAAACAGAATGGTTTTCCTTAGGCAATGGTGTCAGACAAGGGTGTATTTTATCTCCCTATCTGTTCAACCAGTATGGAGAATAAGGAAAGCTGGAATTGGATCAGAGAAGGAAGGGTGAAAACTGGCCGAAGACACATCAATAATTTAGGATATGGAAAGCAGCCATGTGCCGAAGGCTCAGTTCCCCACTTCTTTTAGACAACAGACAGTTCTTGGGCAAAAACCACTTCATTTCCAATGTGCAGCCTGCAAACTAATATTCTTCCAAGGAAGAGTCTTTGAGCATGCACAGAGCCATCTGATGAACCCAAACTAGAAACTATTTCTGATAACCTTCCCTTTGAGAAACCCTGGGCCCCACGCTTCTGGGAGCGCCCCTCTGAAGACGGGCAAGCCTCCATGAGATCTGCAGGCCCTCTCCTGAACCTTGGCTCAACCATCCCTTCGAAGAGAGACTGCAGCCAGGAAATTTGAAGATGACTGAGACTGGAAAGGACAGCAGTGACAGAACTGGAAGAGACAGAGGCCAAAGTCATTCACACGGTTGTATTCCCAGTCACTGTGCATGGATGGGAACGCTGGATGGGGAAGAAAGCTGACAGGAAGAATACTGATGGCTTCGAAACATGCTGCTAGGGAGGAGAGCTTTGTGAATACCCTGAACTGACAGAAAAACAAACAGGGGGGTGCTAGATCAAATCAGGGTGTAGCTTTCCCTGGAAGCAAAAATGGCAACGCTGAGGCTGTTGGGCACATCACTGGAGAAGCCAATTGTATGGATTGACTCCAGAAAGGGAACCACAGACTTAAGTTTGCAAGGGTTGAGCAGAACTGCCAAGGATGTGGAGGGCACTCTGCTGTAGGATCACCGTAAGTCAGGACAACTTGACAGCACCCGACAACAACACATTTACATATGCTTGAATGCCTGTGCATAGGGCTGTGTGTGTCCTTAAAAGAAAGGGTCTCCTTTGGACAGCACTTGTTACAAAATATATGACCGGCAGAGAGGAGGGCATTTGATTTCAGAGACAAACAAAAACTCAAGCAGAAGAATTTGGGGTGGGGGAAAGCAGGGGGCAATACATACGCGGGCAAAAAAGATGCAACAGGTACCATGAGGGTGCCTACACATTTATTTTGTCAAGTGCCCACAGACGGCCGGAAGGTGAGGAAGGGGCCTCCCAGAGAGCTGGGACCCAACATGGAAGGTTAAGGGTTCCTGCCCTAGTGGAGGTCCCCCAACATTGCCTCTGGTCCCAAAGTCTCTCTGAAATGGAACGGAGGAGACGAACAGCCAAGCAGCCTTTGTCGCCGGGAGATGCTGGGGCAGCGCTGCCAAACCGATGGAGCCGGGGCAGCCCCTGCTTGCAGCCCGCCACGGGAGGGCACCCTTCCCTCACGTGCTCTTTGTGACATGCCCAGGGCAAAGCAAGTGATTCTGAGCAAACATTCATATCCCACCTGTCTGTTTCACAAAAGGGATCCTCAGCAGATAAAATCGGCATTGAAGTAATCAAGTGCATTAAAACAGATGAAAATGAATGAACATGGTAGATTTGGAGTGTATGTCGGAGTCCTGAGATTCGTTGACCTTCACTAAGTGATGCCCCATTTCAGGGCGACAATGTAAGATGTGGAATGGGAAGAAAATCCTGCTGGTCCGATATCCGGGTCTGATCCACGTATGCCAAGCTATGACCAGAAAGGTCTGCTGCGCATGCGTGCCTCACTACGCATGCGTGTGCGAGGGGTGTGTGTCTTGTGTATATGCCCACACCCCTAAGGGTTTCTGTCCTGAAAAGGAGCCTGGAATATTTTTAAACAAACAAACACACACAAAAGCATCCTGCCAAAATCCATACAGGGCTCTGATCAGGGTAATTCTGGAGAGCTGATCCAAAACAGAATTTCCACTCACAGCCCTCCATTAATAATATTTTGGATTGCTGCCTTCCTTTGTAAAAACAGCCCAAAGAGGAGAAGTGGCACACTTGCTCTTTAACATTCCCTATTATTCACTTTTGTTTCCATCGCACGGGGTGCCTCTACCCGGAGAGAAGCAATATGTCATCATTTTGTTGAGCTAACCGGCCTAGCAGTCGTGTCCCTTTGAGTTACGAAGAAGACAGCAACACTTCATCAAACCGTTGGCAAAGCCAGGCAGAAAGGGCTGGCAGAAGAAATGGGAGGCAGCCAAGTTTGCAAATTCAGTTACTTTATTGCACGTTATTAAAAAGAGAGAGAGAGAGAGGGAGGGAGAGAAAGGGAGAGAAGTGGCTGGGTTTGGCCAGAAAAGTGGCCCTTTCTGAGGGAAAAGCTCAGAGAGGAGCAGCTGTGGCAGTCTCACCACTGCAGTTTTGTGAGAAGTCATTTCGGCACTTCTAGATGAATGTTTGAAAACACATCTTCTCTGTAAGCCAGTTCGCTCTCCTCTTTTGGGGGTTTCCTCCCTCCCCTCCCCTCCCCTACTTATCATCTTCCTTATTTGAAACAGATTTTTAACAGATAATCTTGCTCATTATAACAATATCTTGCTTGCATTTTATTCAAATAATTCTTAAAAACAGCTTTAAAAGCCGTTTGGAATAAACATCAAGCTTCTCCATCAATCAAAAGGGAAAAAATTTCCGCTGGCGGTTGTATAAACATCAGATCAACTCACTGATGTCTTCAAGGATTTCAGACTGAACCATAAAAAACTCCATTAACTTCTGACAAAGAATGCAAATTAATCGCAACATGGGGTGAGATGAAATTAAAGGCTCTTTTCTAATCAATGACAAGGCAGGATGAAATATTTACTCCTCTCTCTCTCTCCCCCCCCCCCCCCCCCCCCCCGGCGGTTGCTTGTGTCCAGGACAGCACTCTGCTCGCCCAGCCCAAATGCAGGATGATTTGCCTGCATCGGGTTTCCCCAGCCCTGGAAAAACCAGCCAGCAAGTTGCAAAGAACCCGCACACGCACGCACACGCACGCACCAGCCTAATCTCAGGTGTGCACACTTTGTTATTCGGCTCTCCTGTGCCAGTGGAAGGTGGGGAGGCGGGCGGGGGGCGGGGGGCGGAGGAGACTGGCACAAACAGATGCACCAGGAACCGAAATGACAGTTTTGCCCTCTGGAAGTGCGATCACTACAGAAAAATCTAGTACAGCCTGCAGGTGAAATGTCTGGTGCTCCATATGGAGCAGAGAAAATTAACAACAAGATGGAAATCTCGCAAGCAGCAGGGAGCTGTATTTTTTTGAAAAAAAAAAAAAAGAAATTTAAAGATGAAGAAGGAGAAGTAATAAATTAATGGGGTGTGAAAACATTCAAAGCTTTACAATACCAGGGGCACTATTTGCTCAGATTTTTATTTTATTTTTTTTTTAAAGGAAGGGGGGGCAAGCTTCTTCCCTTCCGAACTTCAAGTCATTTTGATGTAATTTATTAACAAAGATCTGCAAGTGTATCCAAAGCCAGGGCAGGGGGTTTGCCAGATTCAAGAGGACTAGTGCAGACACATTCGCAGAACCCTCCCGCAGCTGAGCAGCACAGTGACTGTGCACGCAAAATTCCACTTCCAGGTGGACCCCTCCTGCCCCCACCAGGATGAGGAGTTTGAGCACACGGAGGGACGACTTGACAGGGGAGCACATGGTGCTTCTGTGCACCTGTCAAACAAATCATTACCCTCCGTTACGTTCTGATTTAATCAGGACAATCTGAAACTCTGGAAAAAGAAAGTGTATAGCTATCAGTGCCTTTCGGTACCTTCCAGGAGTTAGTTTGTACCCCGTGGTCTTCCAGCAACGTTCTCTCTCTGCTCTGCACAATCCTTTCTAGACCGAATTGGAAGAGGCTGCTGCATTCACATACGCATGGCACACAACTTAGCTAGCTGCAATTGGGGACAAACTCTTCTGGTGGATATCTTGATTTCACAGACAAAAAAAAGATATGTCTTGCCCTGAAACAAATGTTTGCTTCTCAAACATAGCTCACTCTTAGTTTTTATTGCCACAAAACCAGGACAGGAATCCCAAATTCTATCTACTGATAGAAAATATCCCATGCTTCTTTCTTCTTTCTAAATTCAGCAATTCTGAAGAACGATACCCAACAACTTCCTAAAGATGTTTTTCCTAACAGCAAATGAGCGACAATTATCACAATTATAGGTTAATAAAATATTGAGCAAACCAGAAATTCGCTGGATTCATCAAATCATAGTTTGCTTGTGTAAACACCTGGCAACAGCCGTGCCGGCTCTAATTATCACAATATTTAAATGTTTTCTCTGTAAATTGACACATTTGCAAGTGAACGGCAAATAAAAAAATTACAATAAAATTCACCCTTCATCAAAATCAGAATCCCGAAAGCACTTGCTTAATTGAAAAACTTGGCTTGCAAAAGCAGTTGCTTTTCAAGATTAAGAGTGAGTAAATTGTATATATCAGTGAAAAATGCTCAATAGGAACCTCTTTACTAAGAAATGATTCTGAGTCCCTCTGGCAACTAGTGGGAGCTTTTCCATGCAGAGCTTGGGCTGATAGATCGCAAGGCTTTATATTTTTACCTGTCTATCCATTCACATTTATGAATATTTATAAGCCACTTTCATCTAATGATTTCAAGGCCATGCACACAAATGTTTTCTGTTGAAGAGGAAGACACACCTAGCCCCCTGCTTAGGACACCCAGCTTGCTCATTCATGGATCACCGTGTTCTAGCCTGTCTTCCTTCTCTTGCACGGATCCCAAGGCCGTGTGCAGGGTCCCCCTCCTCGCCACTTTTCTCTTCACAACAACCCTGTGAGGTGGGCCAGGCTGAGGCTCAATGACTGGCCCAGGGCTAAACAGGGACTTGACCCCAGGCTCTGGAGTGTCAGGCAACGCTCTTACCCACGACCCAGAAGGGAGAAGTCAGGCAGCCACACACAAAAGCTGATGGCAGAAGGCCAGAGAGGAAGCTGGTGGCCTGAAAGAGGGCAGGAAGAGAGGGCCCACTCTGTGGAGGTCAAGGCCCTGCCTGCCCGCCTGCCTTCCGTCCTTCCTTCCTATTTATATCCCACCTTTTCCCTTCAAGCAACTCAAGGTGGCTTCCCTCCTCTTCTCAGCCGAACTGGTCAAGCCACAGGCTAGAGGGCCAATCCTGCCCCTGAGCAAGAAGTGCCACCCAGATCCTCACACCTGCATGGGGCTCTGCTGCTTTGTATGCCTGTCAAGGGGTCGCCCTCATGTTGCAATGGCTGCAGAAAAGGGAAGGTGCCGCAGAGGGAAAGGTCCGGAGGGCCTCACATCCTCCTGGGACAACGGACGGCGCCACACGCCCGGTGCTCCTTGTGGTGCGCGTCTCGATCTGGGCGTGCTCTCCTGCTCCCCGGCCTTTGATACACACCCACGGCCAAGCGCACACCCGACGCACGTTCTTCCCTCGCCTCCCCAGTGGCTCCCGCGCGTGCATTTCGCTCGTGTGCTCCTCAAGGACAGGTGCGTGTGCAACACCCTGTGCTCCCTCGCACCCTCACCTGGGCTTGGGGCTGCAGAGCTGGGCCTGAGGCTGCCACTGCCCGGCAGGTGTGGTGCCAGACCAGGCCAGACCAGACATCACCTGTGCAAGCAGGTGCTGCTCCCGGTCACCAAAACAGCAAAGGGCAGACCAAGCTCAGGTGCTTGTGCTGAGCCTTCGGAGGACCTAAACGTGTCAGGAGGATCCATTTCCAGAAAGTGCTCCAAAACCCGGGGAACAGAATGAAAATCTTCCTATTATTCAATAACCACTGCGGTGAGGCGTCTGCATAATCTAACCGTGCATAAATTAGTACGTGTTATTTGCATTATAATAACAAGTTAATAGATGCTTAAAGAGCACAGACCAACACCGCTTATATGAGACGGGCCTGCAGGCACTTTGGCCTGAATCAACCAGGAAAAGTGGTACAACCCACCAGGGAATGCTTCCTGCACGCAGGCATGGAAATCACTGGGCACCGCACGAGCGCTTGATGATGGATATGCACATGGTTTAGCTAAAAGGTGAGCCCCTCTTGAGTGTTGTCTCTGAAAATCTAAGCACTGAATCCGGGTAATGCCTTTGAAAATTAATCCATTCCATGGCAAAGGTTGGTTGACACCAGTCTGACAGAACTGTCCATGTCTGAAGTACAAGTCCCAAGCATCTACCTGCACTAAAAATAAATTGCCAAACCCGTTGGCTAACAGACGCCTGGAGGCAGTGGATGCTGGGAACTAGGCCTCTCTGCTCTGGGCTCACCTGGCCTTAGGTAGGCACAGGTACCTGACCGCAGTCAGCCTGAAATATTAGCAGCCACAGACCAATCCCAGCTTGATGTGGCAGCTTATCAAAAAGCCCATTTAATAGGAGAAGGATTTAAGATGCTACCTCCTTTCTTTCAGCCCCCAGCTCCACCAAAAAGTCACCCCACAAAAAATTAAGAGCTGTATTAAGTATTCAAATAACAAAAAGGCAGCAATCCCCACCCCATCCTATCCAGGAGTGAGAGACAACTTATTTATAAAGTCATTCAATGGCCTCAGTGATATAAAACAAAACTTGAATTAAAAAAAGAACAAAATTAATGGCAGCTTCGACAACTCTGCAGATATGACTTTTTGCTTTAGCAGGGCAAATTCCTATGAACTTGGTTATATGGTTCACAATGACTCTCTGCAGCTTCATGCATAAGAATGAACGCTGCAGTGGCAGGCAGCGATAATGAACGTTCTTACCTGAGGATACGGGAACCTCCCGAGAGCAAGCTGGGAAAGGAAATAATATTTGTCTAGTTAGAGAGATTTGCATTGGGGGTGGGAAAAGAGTCGGGGGGGGGAGAGAGGGAGCAGAGAGCTTCCTTGTGGGGAAAACTAAAAAAAGAAAAAGCAGTACATTATTGCGTGCAAGGATATACAGAGAGACCAAAATAAATATAACCTCTAAACAAGAGCAGCTAGATTTAGAATAGACAATAATACATGAGGAATACATTTGTAATGCATCTGCCTATCCTCCCATCCACTCTGTCCACTCTGCCAAAATTGTGCAGTCATAAATAAATTCCAGGGAAATCTGAAGATAATTTACACCACCTATTTGGACTGCAGCATGGGAAATTAGGAATTCAAGGCAATTGGATTAAGATGGAACACCATCGGATCTGGGGAGCTGTGAACTCCTGTCAAGCACCAAGAACCCAGGGAATCGACAGTGCTGAGGAACGAAAGTTTCGGCTTCAGAGCCCGATACATCCAGCAGGCTGCTTCACAATACCCTGGAAGAACCACCCCCGCTTCCTGGCACTGAAATGGTCCAGAATCCAAGATCTGCGTTCACTCAAAGGATGAGAAACCATCCCTTACTGAAAGGCACTTAATGGAGTACCAAGTCCAAGAGAAGTCATCCTGGCCCCTCTGGAAAGGTCCACTCCAGCCCTTCGGAATTCTTCAGGGAACCAGGTGCTGCCTCTCCAGCCTGGGTGCAGAGAGCTGGTTCCGCTCAGACCATTCCTCCTCCAGCCTGACCATGGCTGTCTCACTCGGGCCCAGCCTGATTTTTCTTGCACAAGAGTGCTTTCCGACAGACCTGGCTACACACCATGGATGCTTGTTGCGCTTGTGTGGAGTCACAGTTAGAGATGCGAAAAGGTATTTCAAATCCATGCCATTCACTGGGTGGCCCTGGCAAAATCATTCTCTCTTCTAGCCTATTTTATGGGGTTATTTTAAAGAGGGATACAGAATGGGCGGCTTCCCATAATACAAGAAGCCATAGTGGCTTCTTCTGCAGGACGGTCTCTCATGTCACCCAAGCTGTCGTGGGATTTCAGCAGGGCAAGTCTGGCTTAAACAGACCATGATTACACACAACAGCGGTTCTATGGTTTCTACTGCTCAACGTGGTTTCTCTGGTCACCAAATGCGGCATCACAGTTTCCACAGCCCTGCTATGCAGCCACCACGAAGTCCCCTGGAAAAAGCAGCAGCTGCAAGAACTGCTTCGGCCAACCAGCATGGCTTGGTTGATGGGATACATGCCAGCAGTGGGACGACTGAGCAAGGAGGGTGGAAACCACGGCAGCAGAGAAAGCCCCTGATCGTCTGTTGGGCATGTCCAGGCTAAAAGATGAATGCAGAGTTGCTTGTTATAATGTGTGAACACAGCCAATTGGGTGCAACCTGCACTGATGCCCTGAGGATATGGTGAGAAAGAATACCAGGTAAGTACTCATGCAAATCATTCTTTAACATTTCACTTGTTTCCTGAATTGTGAACCGAAGGAGGGCAAACATTTGGCTGTTCCTAAACAGAAGTGGCAAAGACAATTCCGTTCCAGGATAAAAGTGGCATTCTTAAATCAACGCAAATGAAGTACCCTTATGCAAATCAGACATGTTTATGCAAATATAATTTATTCTGCATGTAGAATTACATTTTACTGGTATAGAAATTGTTTTAAAAGAAAAAGTACATATAAACCTTGACAGTTAGAAGTTAAAGTTAAAAAATAAATGAACACCATACATGTGGTGTCGAAATGCTGCCAAACATGCCAACGGCACCCAAGTAGCAAGAAACCCGGTCCTAAAGCTCCAAGAACCACTGTTCCATTGGGCTATGCCGAGTCCCCCCCCCCTTCCCAAGATTGTCAAGGTATTATAAATTAAGAAACTCACAAAAGAGTTTGTAATCTTCCCTGGAATAGCCTGCAGATATGTCACTGTACTAAATGTGTTTCAGATTTAATGAAGCTTTAATGTCCTTTTTAATTTTGCCTGTTTCAGTATCACCAGGGGTCGAGCAAGGCAATCAACACTCAAGAGGATGGTTTGGTTTAAAACTAGGAAAAACTCATTTGCTTATGAGTTGCACTGTATTTTCTTAATTAAATTTACTGAGTAAAATGGTTTTAAGTTCAGCCAACCAATGACCTCTGTGTGTAGATTTAGATTTATAAATAGGCTAACAGCGAAAGCATAGGAGCCAAAAGAGGAAAAAAAGCAAGGCAGCTCAGAAAACAAACAGATCGGCTTTGCCAACAGAAGCACTGTATCCACACAACAGAAGCCATTTGGACATAAAATGATATATAATCCCCAAAGGAAAATTGAAAAGATAAAAGTGGACATGTTAAGGCACTCAATCAGAAAAGTCTTCCATTTTATGTTGCAGGTTCGGAAAGATATTCTTGTTGCTCCTTTTAGCTTTTGAATCCCCCTGACTTGACAAGCTAATACATCAACGCTTCAACACAGTGGAACCTTTTTTATTTGATTCTCAATTATCCAACTTTCCCAAGTACTTTAAATTCAGCGCCTCCCACTATTTTCCAAAATGTCACTAAACCCAGCTTGCCCAGACTCTTCTTCAAAGTCGCCATATGTCCAGATGTATGAACCAGGGGCTACACATTTGACCAAGCGGCCTGGTTTGCATGTAACAGTAAGCCAGAATATGGGCTGAGTACAGGCTGTCATTAAATCGTGGGTTGTTGAATCACAGGTTATTGTTCAATGCCTACCCTACTCTACATATTAACTCTGAACCACAAACAAACCAGGAAAGCTGCTCATGGTTTGTTGTCAGGTTGCGGGTGGGTAACAACCCTCCATGCATAGCAACTGCCCATGATTCAAGAACAACCCATTCTCAACCTGTGCTCAGGGTAGTTAAGGGTGAACAAGGTCACTCCTGGTTACGTGCAACTCTATAAGCACAAGCAATTGCCACAGTAGCTCCAGTTTTGGAAAGGAAGAAACCCGAGCAGGCAGGGGTGGGGAAGGACTTCTTGGCTTCCTCAAGGAGCCGTGCCAGAGGGAACAGACTAACCTCGGCTAGAAAAACCAGTGGGCAGATTTTCATATCTCTGCAACAGACAGTGTCTTAAAGGCATTAATGAATGACCAAGAAGCCATCAGCTTTGCCTATTATTAGCTTACAATGTTAGAGGCATCAAGGTGCACAGAACTGCAGAAAAGGAACTTCAGAGTTGGTTGGTTTTCCTGTAATGCTCTCGTTTGGAACGAATTTCTAGGCACTTCTCTTAGTACCCTAGCAAAACTTTCAAAGCACTTCCAGCTGCACTGAACGAAGACAAACCTGCTGTAACGCCATGAGAAACAGGGCGAGCGTGGCACACCTCCGCCTGCCAAGCCGCCTCGGCCTCTTCTTAAAGGCCAGAAGCTAGAGAGCGAACTTGAGGCTGCGGTCATCATCCCGCTTCTAAGCCAGCCAACTCCACACCGGAGCCTCTCCACTGTACCAGGGAACCCTAAAGCGCAACTTGAAACGAAGGAACGTTCATTCATGAAGCACAACGTGAAGCCCCTTCGCACAAGCATCCCGAGCAGCCCCTTTCAGAGAGCCAGCAGCCAACATCCATGCACACTGTCTTAGCAAGGGACTGCACACGGAGATTCCTCAAGACGCCCTCCTTCCTCCTTGGCTGTACACAACTTTGGACCGGGGCTGTCAGGGACTACCACACAACACCTGCCTTCTGTCCCTTTCCCCAGGGTTTTACTTGTAAATCTAGCTAGCCCAACATGCACTGGAATCGCCTGGGGGCAAGAGATACCGCCGCATGCCATGCGTCTCTCCAGCGGAAGTGGTGGAGCAATCAAGGTCACCCCGCCAGACACGCCGGGACGCCCACTCTTCAGGTCGCGTGCCACGGCTTGGCTGCTTGTGGGGCGGTGGTGGGGAGACCGAGCTGCAGGCGGTCCACGGCCACAAGAGCACGTGGAAACCGTGGCTCGCCGCACACGGTGCCAGCCCCGTTGGGCTGCCTCTGCCGGACGCTGGGCCCGCGGGGGAGCCGATACCGGGCTAGATGGAGGCCAGGCAGGTCCCTGCGTTGATCTACTCAAGGGCAAGGCTGCCCGCCAAGCCCTCCTCGTGCCTGGAGTGCGTCACCCGCCCCCCTGGCTGGTGGTCATCAAGGGGGGCATCGGCTGGACTCCCTGCGCATCCCTGCTTGGCCAGATCGGAGCGGCAATGCAGACCCAGATGCTTGCGCTGCCCACGCAAACACTGCCTTCCGCCTTGAGTCCTGCCGGTTGCCGCACCCGGGAAACGAGGGAGGCAAAGGACATTCGGAACGCCGCTTTTAAGGACGCTTGCGCCATCAAGTCCCCTGCCCCCCTTCCTTTAGATTACTCTGCACGACTTGCAAGTTTGTTTTTTTTAATTTACAGTTATGCTGAAGAGTACGGGAGGACTTTATTTCGTCACATTCCGTGTTTCTCAGCATAACTGCAAATTGAAAATAAGCACTTAAGATACTGCTTGTGATCGAGCTAAAGAAGGACTTTATAGTCTGAAATGTTCTAAAATTTGTTCTTAATTACTTTGTGCACATTTTACACAATTAAATTTCCATCTCGAGATTTTGCATTTAGATTGTGCACTGCCGTTCAACCCTCAATTTGGAGGAAGGCAGCCGCCAGTATGGAACATTCAGGCACTGGGAAGTTTAAAAAAACAAAACAATATGAAACAAAACTGAAACTCAGACAGAACAACTGGATTACCTGAAACTCATGGGAAGATTTCATTTGAAGACCAATTTGTAGATCTCCAGATAAGACGTTTAAAATCACCTTAACATTTCACGGACAAGGACCCTGATAAATATTAAATACTGAAAAGAGGAGCCCCAGCATTTCTCTTTCTTACCTACACCAATTCGAGCAATCCTCTTATTGCACATTTTAAAGAAGAATCCAAGAGGATATAGCTGCAATTTACCCACGTTAAAGTGCTT